GCCACACACAACTACTGCCTGGTGCCACACACAACTACTGCCTGGTGCCACACACAACTACTGCCTGGTGCCACACACTACTACTGCCTGGTGCCACACACAACTACTGCCTGGTGCCACACACAACTACTGCCTGGTGCCACACACTACTACTGCATGGTGCCACACACAACTACTGCATGGTGCCACACACTACTACTGCATGGTGCCACACACACTACTGCCTGGTGCCACACACTACTACTGCCTGGTGCCACACACTACTACTGCATGGTGCCACACACAACTACTGCCTGGTGCCACACACTACTACTGCCTGGTGCCACACACTACTACTGCCTGGTGCCACACACAACTACTGCCTGGTGCCACACACAACTACTGCCTGGTGCCACACACTACTACTGCCTGGTGCCACACACACTACTGCCTGGTGCCACACACTACTACTGCCTGGTGCCACACACAACTACTGCCTGGTGCCACACACTACTACTGCCTGGTGCCACACACTACTACTGCCTGGTGCCACACACAACTACTGCCTGGTGCCACACACACTACTACATGGTGCCACACACAACTACTGCCTGGTGCCACACACACTACTGCCTGGTGCCACACACAACTACTGCCTGGTGCCACACACAACTACTACATGGTGCCACACACACTACATGGTGCCACACACAACTACTACATGGTGCCACACACAACTACTACATGGTGCCACACACAACTACTGCATGGTGCCACACACACTACTGTCTGGTGCCACACACAACTACTGCCTGGTGCCACACACAACTACTGCCTGGTGCCACACACAACTACTGCATGGTGCCACACACAACTACTGCCTGGTGCCACACACACTACTGCATGGTGCCACACACAACTACTACCTGGTGCCACACACACTACTGCCTGGTGCCACACTACTGCCTGGTGCACACACAACTACTGCATGGTGCCACACACACTACTGTCTGGTGCCACACACAACTACTGCCTGGTGCCACACACAACTACTGCCTGGTGCCACACACAACTACTGCCTGGTGCCACACACAACTACTGCCTGGTGCCACACACAACTACTACATGGTGCCACACACAACTACTACATGGTGCCACACACAACTACTACATGGTGCCACACACACTACATGGTGCCACACACAACTACTACATGGTGCCACACACAACTACATGGTGCCACACACAACTACTACATGGTGCCACACACACTACATGGTGCCACACACAACTACTGCATGGTGCCACACACACTACATGGTGCCACACACAACTACTACATGGTGCCACACACAACTACTACATGGTGCCACACACACTACATGGTGCCACACACAACTACTACATGGTGCCACACACAACTACTGCCTGGTGCCACACACAACTACTGCCTGGTGCCACACACACTACATGGTGCCACACACAACTACTACATGGTGCCACACACACTACTGCCTGGTGCCACACACAACTACTGCCTGGTGCCACACACAACTACTGCCTGGTGCCACACACACTACTGACTGGTGCCACACACTACTACATGGTGCCACACACACTACTACATGGTGCCACACACACTACTACATGGTGCCACACACACTACTACATGGTGCCACACACAACTACTGCCTGGTGCCACACACACTACTGCCTGGTGCCACACACAACTACTGCATGGTGCCACACACACTACTACATGGTGCCACACACACTACTGCCTGGTGCCACACACTACTACATGGTGCCACACACACTACTACTGCCTGGTGCCACACACAACTACTGCCTGGTGCCACACACAACTACTGCCTGGTGCCACACACTACTACATGGTGCCACACACACTACTACTGCCTGGTGCCACACACAACTACTGCCTGGTGCCACACACAACTACTGCCTGGTGCCACACACAACTACTGCCTGGTGCCACACACAACTACTGCCTGGTGCCACACACAACTACTGCCTGGTGCCACACACACTACTGCCTGGTGCCACACACTACTACTGCCTGGTGCCACACACTACTACTGCCTGGTGCCACACACACTACTACATGGTGCCACACTCTACTACTGCCTGGTGCCACACACAACTACTGCCTGGTGCCACACACACTACTACATGGTGCCACACTCTACTACTGCCTGGTGCCACACACAACTACTGCCTGGTGCCACACACAACTACTGCCTGGTGCCACACACACTACTGCCTGGTGCCACACACAACTACTGCCTGGTGCCACACACAACTACTGCCTGGTGCCACACACAACTACTGCCTGGTGCCACACACAACTACTGCCTGGTGCCACACACAACTACTGCCTGGTGCCACACTCTACTACTGCCTGGTGCCACACACACTACTGCCTGGTGCCACACACAACTACTGCCTGGTGCCACACACACTACTGCCTGGTGCCACACACAACTACTGCCTGGTGCCACACACACTACTGCCTGGTGCCACACACAACTACTGCCTGGTGCCACACACACTACTACATGGTGCCACACACAACTACTGCCTGGTGCCACACACACTACTACATGGTGCCACACTCTACTACTGCCTGGTGCCACACACAACTACTGCCTGGTGCCACACACAACTACTGACTGGTGCCACACACAACTACTGCCTGGTGCCACACACACTACAGCCTGGTGCCACACACTACTACATGGTGCCACACACACTACTGCCTGGTGCCACACACTACTACTGCCTGGTGCCACACACTACTACATGGTGCCACACACACTACTGCCTGGTGCCACACACACTACTGTCTGGTGCCACACACAACTACTGCCTTGTGCCACACAACTACTGCCTGGTGCCACACACTACTACATGGTGCCACACACACTACTGCCTGGTGCCACACACTACTACATGGTGCCACACACTACTACATGGTGCCACACACACTACTGCCTTGTGCCACACACAACTACTGCCTGGTGCCACACACTACTACATGGTGCCGCACACACTACTGCCTTGTGCCACACACACTACTGCCTGGTGCCACACACTACTACATGGTGCCACACACACTACTGCCTTGTGCCACACACAACTACTGCCTGGTGCCACACACACTACTGCCTGGTGCCACACACACTACTGCCTGGTGCCACACACTACTACATGGTGCCACACACACTACTGCCTGGTGCCACACACACTACTGCCTGGTGCCACACACTACTACATGGTGCCACACACACTACTGCCTGGTGCCACACACTACTACATGGTGCCACACACACTACTGCCTGGTGCCACACACTACTACATGGTGCCACACACACTACTGCCTGGTGCCACACACTACTTACATGGTGCCACACACACTACTGCCTGGTGCCACACACTACTACATGGTGCCACACACACTACTGCCTGGTGCCACACACTACTACATGGTGCCACAAACTACTACATGGTGCCACACACACTACTGCCTGGTGCCACACACACTACAGCCTGGTGCCACACACTACTACATGGTGCCACACACACTACTGCCTGGTGCCACACACACTACTGCCTGGTGCCACACACTACTGCCTGGTGCCACACACTACTACATGGTGCCACACACTACTGCCTGGTGCCACACACTACTGCCTGGTGCCACACACACTACTGCCTGGTGCCACACACTACTGCCTGGTGCCACACACACTACTGCCTGGTGCCACACACACTACTGCCTGGTGCCACACACACTACTGCCTGGTGCCACACACTACTGCCTGGTGCCACACACTACTGCCTGGTGCCACACACTACTGCCTGGTGCCACACACACTACTGCCTGGTGCCACACACACTACTGCCTGGTGCCACACACACTACACACACTACTGCCTGGTGCCACACACACTGCCTGGTGCCACACACACTACTACTGCCTGGTGCCACACACACTACTGGGTGCCACACACAACTACTGCCTGGTGCCACACACACTACTGCCTGGTGCCACACACACTACTGCCTGGTGCCACACACAACTACTGCCTGGTGCCACACACACTACTGCCTGGTGCCACACACAACTACTGCCTGGTGCCACACACAACTACTGCCTGGTGCCACACACAACTACTGCCTGGTGCCACACACAACTACTGCCTGGTGCCACACACACTACTGCCTGGTGCCACACACACTACTGCCTGGTGCCACACACAACTACTGCCTGGTGCCACACACACTACTGCCTGGTGCCACACACACTACTGCCTGGTGCCACACACAACTACTGCCTGGTGCCACACACACTACTGCCTGGTGCCACACACAACTACTGCCTGGTGCCACACACTACTGTCTGGTGCCACACACACTACTGCCTGGTGCCACTACTGCCTGGTGCCACACACAACTACTGCCTGGTGCCACACACACTACTGCCTGGTGCCACACACACTACTGCCTGGTGCCACACACACTACTGCCTGGTGCCACACACTACTACATGGTGCCACACACTACTACATGGTGCCACACACACTACTGCCTGGTGCCACACACACTACAGCCTGGTGCCACACACTACTACATGGTGCCACACACACTACTGCCTGGTGCCACACACACTACAGCCTGGTGCCACACACTACTACATGGTGCCACACACACTACTGCCTGGTGCCACACACTACTACATGGTGCCACACACACTACTGCCTGGTGCTACACACAAGTGACCTTTGCAGGAGCCGTCACATCATGGCGAGATGAGCGCCGCTGAGCACCGGCGCGTTGCACAATATTCCCAGCAGGGTGCATTAAGCAACACTGTGGTGGACACACTGTATTATACTGTATCACGCCTCACGCTCTTGCATTAGCGTTGCAACACAATGCCATTTGTGGCCTGTATTGTAATATGTTGTTGCATATTGCATTAAGCCCTGATATACCGCGCCATGTTCCATTATACTGTAAAGGACTGCGAGACACAAGTTCGTTATACTGTGATATATTAGACCGTGTTTCATTACTAATTATACTATAATATATTGGACTATTATAGTATCTTGTTACGACTGCCGTTTCGTTTGTTGCTTGTCCTGCCTCAGGAGCCATTTCCCCACCGCTATATATATACTAGACGGTCCATAGAACATTTTGTTACGGGAATGCTGTAAGTTGCAACATTTTGTATAAATTCAGGGTTAAGTTCGAGGAGGAATATACCTAATTCCCAAGACGGCGGTTGCAGACGCCACTGCTGGGACTCTTCGCTCTTTGAGAGGCTGAGGTGAATACACTGAGACCCGGATGAGCATGAGGAAGATGATTGGTTGTAGTTGCTTAAGGTGACCAATAAACGAGTAGCCCAAGGTGACGTCATCAATGAAAGCTATCTTGGTAGCTTCTCATTGGGGCAGGTGACAGTGTACACAGAGACTTGGAGGAGAGCAGACGCATGGGTTCAACTCCGAAATTTTTCGCAAAAATCGTAGAGTTGTGTGGAAAACCGAGACTTTGGGAAGGTCTTCGGACTTCGTACCGTCACACGGAACAGCCTGGATAACCTAGGAGAGGTTGTTGACCAAACCACACACTAAAAAGTGAAGGGACGACGACGTTTCGGTCCATCCTGGATCATTCTCAAGTCGCTTGTGATCCGGATTGACTTGAGAATGGTCCACGACGGACCGAAACGTCGTCGTCTCTTCACTTTCTAGTGTGTGGTTTGGTCAACATTTGAGGCACGTTATTGTGACTCCTCGTCTGCACTAGGAGAGATTAATCCGACATTTTCTCTGATAAGTTGCAAGTTGAAGCTGCAGCAGTGAGGAGACCGTTGGTCTGGGACCAAAGGAGTGACGCCAGACGCCCAGCTGCGCAGAGGACCTGTGTGTGAGGGGGGGTCACTCTTCACTTTATTTTGTACCATATTTCTCGAGGACAGTTCCAGCTCAAGACCCGGATTCACGAAGCAGTTACGCAAGTACTTACGAACGTGTACATCTTTCCTCGATCTTTGACGCCTTTGGTTACATTTATTAAACAGTTTACAAGCATGAAAATTTCCTAATCAACTGTTGTTATTGTTATAAACAGCCTCCTGGTGCTTCGGAGCTCATTAACTGTTTAATAATCGTAAACAAGGCCGCCAAAAACTGAGAAAAGAAGGACAGGTTCGTAAGTGCTATCGTAACTGCTTCGTGAATCTGGCCCCAGAAGATCTGGTACCGCGGAGGTAAGGAGCACAGTGAAATTGTTGCATGCAAGAGCAACCAAGACTTTGCCTGACCCCAGTGAACGACTGTGAGAAAGGCAGTAGAGCAGTATGATAGTCTACTACTAATAAAGGCAGTAGAACAGTATGATAGCCTACTACTACTACTAAAGGCAGTAGAGCAGCATGATAGTCAACTACTAAAGGCAGTAGAACAGTATGATAACCTACTACTACTAAAGGCAGTAGAGCAGTATGATAGCCTACTACTTGTGACGAGAATCTGGAATAGAGCCGTGGCTATTCGGGCGGGTGTCGTGCCCATCACATATCAATAAAAGAGACAATATAGTAAACAAGACAGCTTGGGTCCTCTACTATGAGAGAGCTGCGAGTAAACACCAAAGAGAAGAAAAATTTCAAATATTTAATATAACAAAAATTATTAATATCACACCAAAATAATAAGTAATAATTAAAACAAAATCATTAGTCACTTGGCTTTACACAATATCAAAAAATATATACAAGTGAAATTTACATTAATAACAAGGGTGCAAATAAATACTTTATATAAATGCTGTAACATCTACTTATAAGAGTAGATGTTACAGCTGAGAGCACTCGAGGGGTACTTTGTTGAGCTGGACGTTGGCAAGTCTTTTTTATATGGGACATGACGTCATAACTGGCGCGAATTCTGTATACCTATCGGTTAGCAGAAGAATGGTCGCTAGCGGGTGGCGTCTGGTCCCCTACCGAGACAGCAGGTGTGGTGGGGTCTTGGATACTGGAGGGTGGACGGGGGAGGTGGTGTGTCTAGACACCCATACTTTGAGCATGTGTTGTTATTGTCCTTTATTTTTACTCTTGTTGTTGGAAAATGCAGATACGTTGATGAATAAGTGGTAAATGGACAGGCAAGATCTACTGCTAGGCAGGAGGTTACTGTAGCATACTACTAAAAGTACTTGAGCAGTATGATATTACTACTGAAGGCACTAGAGCAAAATGATATTACTACTAAAGGTACTAGAGCAGAATGATATTACTACTGAAGGTACTAGAGCAGAATTATATTACTACTAAAGGTACTAGACCAGAATGATAGTCTACTACTATTAACTTTATCTGGAAAGACATTCGTGTGAGCAACAAGTGGACACGAATGGTTTTACAAGTGACATTATCAGTTTCGAAGTGAGCAGCATAGTGGTCCAAGTGAGCAGCATAGTGGTCCAAGTGAGCAGCATAGTGGTCCAAGTGAGCAGCATAGTGGTCCAAGTGAGCAGCATAGTGGTCCAAGTGAGCAGCATAGTGGTCCAAGTGAGCAGCATAGTGGTCCAAGTGAGCAGCATAGTGGTCCAAGTGAGCAGCATAGTGGTCCAAGTGAGCAGCATAGTGGTCCAAGTGAGCAGCATAGTGGTCCAAGTGAGCAGCATAGTGGTCCAAGTGAGCAGCATAGTGGTCCAAGTAAACAGTGCAGCACTAGTCCGGCTACTAGTGTTTAGTGGTGGACTGGTGGTGGGGAGCCTCCTTACTGTGACTCTGGGTCACGGTGAGGAGGTACGGTGAGGGTCTGGGGGGGGGGGGGAGGCCTCGTTAAGTCATTTGTGTACCTGTTGTTACCGGAGAACAAGTCCGGAGTACACCAAGCCTCTGGTGAAGGTCTGGGGCAGTAAGTGGAGCGGTGACCGACGCTTCAAGGTAAAAAGAGCGAGGCGGACAGTCCGCTGACCGGCGCTAAGGATGCCAGTAGTTAAGCAAAGTTTCCTCCCCCATTCCTCTTTGAATTAATATTATTCAATGAAGCAGTTTAAAGATGGTGCGCATTATGTCGTGTTCATCGACATACATGATTATTTTGCCAATGATTATTGTTGTGTGATTTCTGAGACTCCTAGCGAGGACTAGTGATTTTGATGTACTGTATTTTTATTTGCCTTTTGATTTCTAGGTGTTTGCAAAGTGAACTGAGCTTAATTTAGATTTTGAACTTTGCTATTTCATTTCTTTTGTGACAGTAAAAAATTGCTTGTGATATACTTGGACACTGTTCACTTGGACTTGAATGTGAGTTCAAGGGTCTAGAGCAGCCTAATGAGTATCAAGCCGGCTGGGCATTAAAGTTCTGTTTTGAGAAGAGGCTACTAACGTAACCTGTAATCTTCTTCCTTCAATTATCTTATATTTTATGAATCTTGTGTTTATGTGTCCGTCCTTGCTCGGTTATTTATTTAGTGACCCGGCAGACGCCGAGTTAAAAACCATTACGGTACACTGTGGTGCAGTTGTGAGGGAGCGGCCAGGCTTGTGCTCATGTTGGCAGACGGTGAGAGACGGAGGATGTCTTTCACTGTCTCAATTACACCAGTAACACCGGACTATAAACATCCAAATATCCATGCTGAAATGCACGTGAAGAACTTTACCCACACTCGCAGGTCTCTAACAAACGAAAGCAAGCTTAGCTTAGTTGCCAACACACACACACACACACACACACACACACCGTGTCAGCAAGGCGGACAGCCCGCCTGCTATCATAACTCTTACTATATATCCCATTTCCGATCTTCTTCCCTCGTCTGTGCCTCTTTAAACTCTTTACTTACCCCCACGACAACAAACCCCCCCCCCCATCCCCCAACTAGCACTCTACCACCACCCAATCCTCAATTACCACCACAACATCCCTCCCCCACTCCAAACACCTCATCAAGGCCAAAGAACTTCAATGATCAATAAATGTTTGACGCCGGGAATTGGTACATGCAAATGAGCACGAAGCTATGATGACAGGGAGTGGATGGGGGACGGGGGGCGTCGGAGAGGGGATAGGAGGGTAGGAAAATGGAATAGAAGGGTAAGGGAAGGAGCAGCTCCAGTAACACAACAGTACCAAGACAGTAGCAGCAACAACAGTACAGCATCATCAACATCAGCGAAAACAGTTTACATTATTTACTTGTAGTTTACCTGTAGCCAGTTTCGAGCGTTCTTCTACTCGCAAAGTCCGGCCTGGGGTCAGGCTTGCCTGGTGATAGCTTGATCTATAAGGCTGTTGCCTGCAGCGGCCCGCGCGTCCATTACAACCTGGTTGGTTCGGCACTTCCAGCAGGAATTTGTCAGCTATCAATGGAAAACCTTCACTTGTGTCCGGCAATATTTCCTGTATTTGGTGCTGGGAGCTGGAAGGTCAGTGGGGCCTCTCGCTGCAACCTGTCCGCAGGGAGAGATCCCCCTCAAGGCAATGGACTGGGAACGACTACATAATTTGTGCTATTATCTCATAATTTGTGCTATTATCTACTATTAACACATAGGTTAGCTATTATCTAACACATGGTTAGATTAGGTTAAGGTTAAATTATGGTTAGATTATGTTAAGGTTATTTTAGGTTAAGGTTGTTTTAGGTTAAGGTTTGGTTAGGTTAGGTTTCATTACGTTTGGTTATGTTAATACGATGTATTATTGACGATAATGTGAAATATGGAATTCAAAAAACCATTTCAGTGTGCCCATAAATTCCACTTACAGAAAACCAAATTCTTATAAGGAAACGTTTTCAGCATAAACTGTTTATATTTTAAACCAACGCTTTTTATTTACATTAAAGTTATAACTTGAGAATACTCTGTGTTTACGACGAAGGTTCATTTGTCAAGTTTACGTGTACACTATTACTGGAACTGTAATGTCCAAATATCTAGATTACCATAACAAATATCTAGAAACTTTCCAAGTGGGTGTGTTGTCTCATGGTAATGGATTTGGTCGAGGACGGGCTGCAAATTCATTTATTCTGCACTTCCTTCCATACCGTTCGCTTCAGTATATTGTTTTATTGAACATATACGTATACATTTGACCCGAAACGCTGAGCGTATTAGTGGCTTTAGATATTGTATGTATTAACTCTATCTATAAATCCAACATTATGTTTGTAACTCATCTTCTATGTATGCACTTTTACCTGAATAAACATTTTGAATTTGAATATTTGGGACCTGATCTTCGAGTAGTTTATTATGTGAGTTTTTTCTCGTCTTGTTTCCATAGAGTATATTTATGGTGCTTTGAGACGGTCCCAGTGATGTAGATGCTTTACCATGTCTGTCTGTCTGTCCTGCTCTGATGGGGAGGGGGGGGAGTGAGTACTAAGTGATTTGAAAGGTAAGAGCATTGCGGTGGCATCCTGAGGTTTGGAGGTTTTCATAATCCATCCAACATATGTCCCGGCTCACGCTATATTCGCTCTATGCTCAGTAACCTTTATGTCGTCCGCCATCATTCTCATTTCCTTTACATTTTGCTTTCGTTCAATAAGGTGAGTTGATTATGTCTTATATCCTGTGTTATGTGTGTGTGTTATATGTTAAATATTATGTTTAACAGACTGTTTTTCCACATATAAAAACTGGAACATCATTGCCCATCGGTAGATACTGCTGTTAGCTGGAGTTTTTGAATGTTTCCTAATGAGCCAATATTAATGCTGATATTGGTATCATCTGCAAAGAACGACACGAAGCTCTGACGTTATTTTGGGCTGTCTGATATGAGGACGAAAAAGAGCCGTGTCCAACTATGAAGGATTTTCCACACAGACCCTTAAAGCTCTTCAGGAGAACTCTACAAATTTGTAAGTGTTCCCTGAAGAGCACGACGGAGACTGCGTGCACCAACAGCCTCAATGATCAGGCCCGACTTCTTTAACTAGGTTGACACATAGGAGCCGAGGGCAGGTCGATGAAGCCCCCCCAACCATTACATGATTCCGAACGCCATACCCGATGAGCCACAGAACATTAACTGCCAAGTGCGAGTTGAAACAGCCCCGTAAAACAGTCCGGATGAGAGAGATGAATGGTGTCCTTGCCAAGACAACTGTCGGTAATTGTATTAAGTTGCATTTCACAGACGGTTAATGAACGAAAATATTGACCTTTGTAATATGCTTTTATATTTGTATACCTGGGTCACCCTGGGTCACTTTGGGTCACCCTGGATCACTTTGGGTCACCCTGGGTCACTTTGGGTCACCCTGGGACACCCTGCGTCACCCTGGGACACCCTGCGTCACCCTGGGACACCCTGGGTATGCTGCGGTGAACCTGGAATACATCACGCACTCCTTGCCCTTCCCACCTCCATCACCCACTACTAACCCCCCCCTCTCTCTCTCTCTCCCTCCATCACCCACTTCTTGCTCCTCCCTCCATCAACCACTTCTTGCCCCTCCCTCCCTCCCCACCTTGCCCCTCCCTCCCTCCCTGCCCCCCCACCTTGCCCCCTCACTCCCTCTTTCCCTGCCCCCTCACTCCCTCCCTGCCCCCCCCCTCTCCCAACCGTGCCCCCCTCACAACTTGACTCATCTCTCGCTCTCCTTAACCCAACTTACTGTTTATTGATTTTACATTAAATTTTTTATAGCTGTTTGTGCCTTCGCTACACCAAGACCACCTCCATGCCTCCCCTTCCCTCCTCCACCCCTCCGCTCGCTGCGTCTAAGGAAGAGGGGTTTATGAGGAGTGGGGAAGAAAGAAGGTAAGAAAGAGGGGGTAAATCCCCCCCGATTTACCCCCTCTGAATGAGGAAGATGGGGATCATGAGGGGTGTGAGAGGAAGAGGGGGTTATGAGAGGTGGGGGGGGGGGGGGGGAAGCACCCTCAGCAAGCAGGTGTATGTAATAGGATGTGACAGAAGCCTCACTTACCTGGCCGCTCCCTGGCTCCTGTCTTCTTGCCTCCCGGCCCTTCTTCCCCCCCCCCCTCCCCAGGCGCCCGGCCCTTCTCCCCCGGCGCCCGGCCCTTCTCCCCCGGCGCCCGGCCCTTCTTCCCCCCCCCCCCTCCCCAGGCGCCCGGCCCTTCTGCCCCCCCCCCCCTCCCCAGGCGCCCGGCCCTTCTGCCCCCCCCCCTCCCCAGGCGCCCGGCCCTTCTGCCCCCCCCCCTCCCCAGGCGCCCGGCCCTTCTGCCCCCCCCCCCTCCCCAGGCGCCCGGCCCTTCTTCCCCCCCCCCTCCCCAGGCGCCCGGCCCTTCTTCCCCCCCCCCTCCCCAGGCGCCCGGCCCTTCTGCCCCCCCCCCCCCCTCCCCAGGCGCCCGGCCCTTCTTCCCCCCCCCCCCTCCCAGGCGCCCGGCCCTTCTTCCCCCCCCCCTCCCCAGGCGCCCGGCCCTTCTTCCCCCCCCCCTCCCAGGCGCCCGGCCCTTCTTCCCCCCCCCCCCCCAGGCGCCCGGCCCTTCTTCCCCCCCCCCCTCCCCCCAGGCGCCCGCGCCCCTTCCCCCCTTCTTCCCCCCCCCCTCCCCAGGCGCCCGGCCCTTCTGCCCCGGCGCCCTTCTGCCCCGGCGCCCTTCTGCCCCGGCGCCCTCTACCCCGGCGCCCTTCTGCCCCGGCGCCCTTCTACCCCGGCGCCCTTCTGCCCCGGCGCCCTTCTACCCCGGCGCCCCTTCTGCCCCGGCGCCCTTCTACCCCGGCGCCCTTCTGCCCCGGCGCCCTTCTGCCCCGGCGCCCTTCTGCCCCGGCGCCCTTCTGCCCGGCGCCCTTCTGCCCCGGCGCCCTTCTACCCCGGCGCCCTTCTGCCCCGGCGCCCTTCTACCCCGGCGCCCTTCTGCCCCGGCGCCCTTCTACCCCGGCGCCCTTCTGCCCCGGCGCCCTTCTGCCCCGGCGCCCTTCTACCCCGGCGCCCTTCTGCCCCGGCGCCCTTCTACCCCGGCGCCCTTCTACCCCGGCGCCCTTCTGCCCCGGCGCCCTTCTGCCCCGGCGCCCTTCTACCCCGGCGCCCTTCTGCCCCGGCGCCCTTCTGCCCCGGCGCCCTACCCCGGCGCCCTTCTGCTGCCCCTTCTACCCGGCGCCCTTCTGCCCCGGCGCCCTTCTACCCCGGCGCCCTTCTGCCCCGGCGCCCTTCTACCCCGGCGCCCTTCTGCCCCGGCGCCCTTCTGCCCCGGCGCCCTTCTGCCCCGGCGCCCTTCTGCCCCGGCGCCCTTCTACCCCGGCGCCCTTCTGCCCCGGCGCCCTTCTGCCCCGGCGCCCTTCTGCCCCGGCGCCCTTCTACCCGGCGGCGCCCTTCTGCCCCGGGCGCCCTTCTACCCCGGCGCCCTTCTGCCCCGGCGCCCTTCTACCCCGGCCCCGGCGCCCTTCTACCCCGGCGCCCTTCTGCCCCGGCGCCCTTCCCCGGCGCCCTTCTGCCCCGGCGCCCTTCTGCCCCGGCGCCCTTCTGCCCGGCGCCCTTCTGCCCCGGCGCCCTTCTACCCCGGCGCCCTTCTGCCCCGGCGCCCTTCTACCCCGCCCTTCTGCCCCGGCGCCCTTCTACCCCGGCGCCCTTCTGCCCCGGCGCCCTTCTACCCCGGCGCCCTTCTGCCCCGGCGCCCTTCTACCCCGGCGCCCTTCTGCCCCCTTCTACCCCGGCGCCCTTCTGCCCCGGCGCCCTTCTGCCCCGGCGCCCTTCTACCCCGGCGCCCTTCTGCCCCGGCGCCCTTCTACCCGGCGCCCTTCTACCCCGGCGCCCTTCTGCCCCCGGCGCCCTTCTGCCCCGGCGCCCTTCTGCCCCGGCGCCCTTCTACCCGGCGCCCTTCTGCCCCGGCGCCCTTCTACCCCGGCGCCCTTCTGCCCCGGCGCCCTTCTGCCCCGGCGCCCTTCTACCCCGGCGCCCTTCTGCCCCGGCGCCCTTCTGCCCCGGCGCCCTTCTACCCCCGGCGCCCTTCTGCCCCGGCGCCCTTCTGCCCCGGCGCCCTTCTACCCCGGCGCCCTTCTGCCCCGGCGCCCTTCTACCCCGGCGCCCTTCTGCTTCTACCCCGGCCCCTTCTGGCGCCCTTCTACCCCGGCGCCCTTCTGCCCCGGCGCCCTTCTACCCCGGCGCCCTTCTACCCCGGCGCCCTTCTGCCCCGGCGCCCTTCTACCCCGGCGCCCTTCTACCCCGGCGCCCTTCTGCCCCGGCGCCCTTCTACCCCGGCGCCCTTCTACCCGGCCCCTTTCTGCCCCGGCGCCCTTCTACCCCGGCGCCCTTCTACCCCGGCGCCCTTCTGCCCCGGCGCCCTTCTGCCCCGGCGCCCTTCTACCCGGCGCCCTTCTGCCCCGGCGCCCTTCTACCCCGGCGCCCTTCTACCCCGGCGCCCTTCTGCCCCGGCGCCCTTCTGCCCCGGCGCCCTTCTACCCCGGCGCCCTTCTTCCCCGGCGCCCTTCTGCCCCGGCGCCCTTCTACCCCGGCGCCCTTCTGCCCCGGCGCCCTTCTACCCCGGCGCCCTTCTGCCCCGGCGCCCTTCTGCCCCGGCGCCCTTCTACCCCGGCGCCCTTCTGCCCCGGCGCCCTTCTACCCCGGCGCCCTTCTACCCCGGCGCCCTTCTGCCCCGGCGCCCTTCTACCCCGGCGCCCTTCTGCCCCGGCGCCCTTCTACCCCGGCGCCCTTCTGCCCCGGCGCCCTTCTACCCCGGCGCCCTTCTACCCCGGCGCCCTTCTGCCCCGGCGCCCTTCTACCCCGGGGGAGAATCAACCAAAGGTAACCTAGTAAGTTGATATTTTATTGTAAGCATTTGAGACGTGACCGTCGCGTATCTTCCATGTATATTTTGTGGTATGACGTCATCCATCACCTGACAGTTCTGACAGCTGAGTGGACAGCGCTTCGAATTCATAGTCCTGAGGTTCCGGGTTCGATCCCTAGTAGAGGCAGAAACAAATGGGCTGAGTTTCTTTCACCCTGATGGCCCTGTTTACTTAGCAGTTAATAGGTACTTGGGAGTTAGACAGCTGCTGCGGACTGCTTCCTGGGTGTGTGTAACAAAAAGGAGGCCTGGTCGAGGAATGGGCCGCGGGGACGCTAAGCCCCGAAATCATCAAGATAACCTCAAGATGAGAGGTCAGTAAAGGCAGGGATGAGGTTAAGCCACCGGGGAGCCGTAACAAGTGGACCAGCCTTCAGTCACAAGCCTCACTAATCACTAAGTAACTGATAACTTACCGTCACACCCGCACCTCCCTCCCTCCCCCCCGTCACCTTGCAAATATTAGTCACTCATGCTCTATAATGCTGTGTATTATAATAGCCTTAATAATGCTTTAGTGGAGCCTTAGTGGAGCCTTAGTGATGACTTAGTGATGCCTTAGTAATGCCGCCGCCTCGGTCGCCGGATTACCCTGTGTTAGTGCCTGAGACAACACCCAGGTGATGGCCCAGTAATGCTGACCATTGTACTTACTGCAAGACTCATCCTCCGGGTGAGCCCAGCATAAAGAAATATAAGGCTTCATATCTAAGAATAACCATTACTCTAGGTGCTTCTACTTTATAGTGAGGAGTGGTCCAACTCTGACAATTTCCATACTGAGCCATGATAGCTTCTTGCAAATAGAATCAGAATTCCAAACATTTCAAGATTGTCGAGGAGTCTGTCACGGAGATGACTGTTGTATACAGTCTTTTGGGCTGCTAAATACGAGTGTTTCATTGGTAAACTTTCCACCACAAACATTCTGAAATAGGATTAAGTTTACTGTGACACCAATCGAATCCCACTGCAAGATAACAGTTTGTTTGTCCAAACTTAACAAATTTGGCTTAGATTCTTTTATTTGTAATCTCTGTCGTGTTCATTGTGGGATTAAATATATATTTTTCGCACAATTTTTTTTTACCTTCAACTCTCGTTTTAGCGTGACAACTAAAATATTCTTAATTTTGCTTCTTGCTCAAGCAAAATACACCCAAGTGTATCCTTAGCAATCTGTTGAGGACACGTCCTCGGCCATTACTCACACACACACTCAAGTTTCTGCAATAATGTAGGATTTGCAGCAGACAAAACAGGTTACTATATTATGATAATTTATGAGTTTAAACTTGTGAGGCGCCCGTGGGAGCCGTCAGCGGCACACTGAGGCCTGGGAGATCCCACCTGTGAGGCGCCCGTGGGAGCCGTCAGCGGCACACTGAGGCCTGGGAGATCCCACCTGTGAGGCGCCCGTGGGAGCCGTCAGCGGCACACTGAGGCCTGGGAGATCCCACCTGTGAGGCGCCCGTGGGAGCCGTCTGCGGCACACTGAGGCCTGGGAGATCCCACCTGTGAATCACTGCTTAACCGCCGCTAACAACACTGTTATATCTTGAGGTTATCTTGAGATGATTTCGGGGCTTTTTAGTGTCCCCGCGGTCCGGTCCTCGACCAGGCCTCCACCCCCAGGAAGCAGCCCGTGACAGCTGACTAACACCCAGGTACCTATTTTACTGCTAGGTAACAGGGGCATAGGGTGAAAGAAACTCTGCCCATTGTTTCTCCCCGTGATATTATATTATAACTTGACCACTCTTGTATTCATCCGAATGTCTTATGTAGTTATCAGAGGGAGGAAAGAGAGGGAGGGAAGAGAGGGAGGGTGGAAGGGGAGACACACGAAGGGAGGGATAGAAGAAGGAAAGGAATGGAGGCTACCTGATATAGGGGAAAGGGGGGGGGGCTCCCCCTGTCTTCCCTACCGTCATTTTTTTAGCTAAAGTTAGGATAAAGGGAGAGAGGGCTGTGAGCAGTGGCAGGGAAAACTGTTTAGGGGGACGGATCGGGTTGGACAATGGTGTTGGTGCTGGTGTACACGTGTACCCTCCCCCCCCCCCCCCCCAGGCCAACACACCACACCACACACTTTCAGCAACCAATTAAATGCCAAAATTATACGGCTTTAGCTACCGGCCTTAACTGTTGCCTCAAATTGCGCCATACGAGCATCTGGAGAGGGAAGGTGGAGAGGAGGAGGAGGAAAAGAAAAGGGAGAGGACGGAGGGAATGAGACAGTATGGATCACAGGAAGCGAGAAGGAAGGGGAGGGGAAGGGAGAGAAGATATGTAATAGAGATGTTGTTTGTATTTTAGATTCAGCTCCTCGGAACAAAAGTTGCAAGTAGCACGGGCTATGGTGAACCCGTAGTGGACTTACCTGGCACAGGAACGGGGCTGTAACTGATGTAATAGAGTAATAACGAATGATAGGGAAGAATATAGGTGGTGGGGCGAAAGAGAGGTTATCTGGAGATGATTTCGGGGCTTAGCGTCCCCGCGGCCCGGTTCTCGACCAGACCTCCTTTTTGTTACACATCCCCCAGGAACATAAGAACAAAGGTAACTGCATAAGGCCTATTGACCCATACGAGGCAGCTCCTACTTATAACCACCCAATCCCACTCATATACTTGTCCAACCTACGCTTGAAACAATCGAGGGACCCTACCTCCACCACGGAACGCGGTAATTGGTTCCACAAATCAATAACCCTGTTACCGAACCAGTAATCCAAGTCTTTCCTAAATTTAAACTTACCCAATTTATACCCATTGTTTCGTGTTCTGTCTTGTGTTGATACTTTTAGTACCCTATTATATTAATAGGTAATATATTAATAGGAAACGGCCCGTAGCAGCTGTCTAACTCCCAGGTACCTATTTACTGCTAAGTGAACAGGTGAATCAGTGTGAAAGAAACTCTGCCCATTTGTTTCCACTTCCGCCGGGGATCGAACCCGGAACCTTAGGATTACGAATGCCGAGCGCTGTCCACTCAACCGTCAGGCCCCCTGGGGGAGGGGGAGGGGAAGGACAATGAGAGGGGAGAGGTAGTTGATCGTTAGCCATTTAACAACCTTAAAGATAAGAATGGAGGAAACCATTTTATATAGGGAAAGAGGGGAAGGGAGGAAGGAAGAGGAGGACAGAGGAATAGGGGATATGGGAGGGGAGAATAACGGGGCTGATTTAGGGTGATGTACTAAATGAAGGAGGAACGCTAATGGTTTTTGGAGGCAGTTTAAGGTGGTGAGGAGAGAGATGTGAGAGATTAGTGGGGGGGGGGGAAGGGGGGGGTTAGAGGGGAGAGGAGGGGAGACGAGGAGGGGAGAGGAGGAGGAGGGGAGAGGAGGAGGAGGAGGAGAGGAGGAGGAGGGGAGAGGAGGAGGCGGGGAGATGAGACGGGGAGATGAGACGGGGAGAGGAGGGGAGAGTATGTAAATTAACAAATTAAGCTACTCACTCTCTCTTTATAAGGAAGGTTTCTAATTCCTGGGATAAAGTTTACCATCCAACTTGTAGTACGGAGACCAAGCCTGACCTGCATGGTTTTATAGTGGGAAGATCATGCCTTTAGCAGCTACTCGACCACTATGACAAAATCAATACTCACCTTACCTCTCGGAGAACATATACGACACGCATAGACACGATAAAGCACGTAAACTATTGGGACCGTCTCAAAGATCTCAAAATGTACTCTCTAGAAAACAGATGAGAGAGGTATCAAATAATATATACATGGAAAATACTGGAGGGGCAAGTCCCAAATTTACACAGTAAAATAACAACATACTTGAAAGAATGATATGGAAGGAAATGCAATATAAAATCAATGAAGAGTAGAGGTGCCATAGGCACAATCAGAGAACACTGTATGAACATCAGAGGTCCGCAGTTGATCAATATCCTCCCAGCAATTATTAGGAAATATTGCCGAAATAAAAATGGAAGTCTTCAAGAAAAACCAGGTAGTTATCTGCAAGAAGTGAAGGACCAATCGGGTTGAAGTGTATATGTGGGTCTGCGGACCGCGCCAAGCAACAGCCTGTTAGATCAAGCTCTACAAAGTGAAGCCTGGAGAACGTCCACAAGTTTTTTACTGCTAGAATCGACTCTATAAAACATCTAAATTATTGAGACCGATTAAAAATTTAAAACCTGCAATCGGTACACCGCAAGCGAGATATATATAATAATTTAAACGTGGAAAATATTAAAGGGACTGGTTCCAAATTTGCACACGGAAATAACACCACACGAGACCAGGAGGCATGGCAGGATGTTTAGAATAGCCCCGTTGAAGAGCAGAGGTGCAACAGGTACTCTGAGAGAGAACTATCAACATCAGAGGCCCGAGACTATTCAACACACCTGCTACACATATGGAGCATAACCGACCTCTCACGGTGGATGGTATTCAAAAGAGAACGTGATAAAACACCTACAATGGATACTTGGTTAACGAGGTTGTGATTCACACACTGACTATGTGTGAGTCAGTGTGAAACAGTCGCGTCTACCAGGGTGAGGAAGGTTGACCAAATCACCAACCAGGAGGCCTGGTCAGAGACAGGGCCGTGGAGACATTGATCCTCGGAACCAACAATATGTAGTAACTCGGTCACAGTTGTAAATACCAGGTCACACTGGTACTCAACAGAGGGTCCCAACAAACAGCAGACGTATGTACTCGAACAGAAGAAACAGGGTTCGGACTCACAATCAGAATAGATGAAAAGGCTCACATGGCAACTTAGAAACGTCAGCATAAATATAATGATCTCAAACAACAGAGTGGAAGAGTTTGACGACAGTCGACGTCCATCAATATTTCACAGTTCATGACTCAAGCCGGCTGATCATGTGTCAAGTTGGTGCTCTGGTGGACCACGTGTCCAGATTATTATGGAACAATGAATAATGAAGAGACAACACAATAAGGAAGACATGGAAAAGAAAGAAAGTGGATGGGATGAAGACATGGAAAAGAAAGAAAGTGGATGGGATGAAGACATGGAAAAGAAAGAAAGTGGATGGGATGAAGACATGGAAAAGAAAGAAAGTGGATGGGATGAAGACATGGAAAAGAAAGAAAGTGGATGGGATGAAGACATGGAAAAGAAAGAAAGTGGATGGGATGAAGACATGGAAAAGAAAGAAAGTGGATGGGATGAAGACATGGAAAAGAAAGAAAGTGGATGGGATGAAGACATGGAAAAGAAAGAAAGTGGATGGGATGAAGACATGGAAAAGAAAGAAAGTGGATGGGATGAAGACATGGAAAAGAAAGAAAGTGGATGGGATGAAGACATGGAAAAGAAAGAAAGTGGATGGGATGAAGACATGGAAAAGAAAGAAAGTGGATGGGATGAAGACATGGAAAAGAAAGAAAGTGGATGGGATGAAGACATGGAAAAGAAAGAAAGTGGATGGGATGAAGACATGGAAAAGAAAGAAAGTGGATGGGATGAAGACATGGAAAAGAAAGAAAGTGGATGGGATGAAGACATGGAAAAGAAAGAAAGTGGATGGGATGAAGACATGGAAAGAAAATAAGTTATTGTTAGATTAATAATTTTCTGTAGCCTTATCAACGAGGTCATATACAACAATGTTTATATAACCATTGGATTGTATACACATCTCAGCTCGATTCCTCAAGAGTTGAACCTCAGAAGACAGAGCTTTATTCCCAAAGAGAGGCATAGTGCTCCTCCCAAGTAGGAACCAACTTTAGTCTGTCACTTATCCTTCAGTTAGGAGGAGGATTTTACAAGCTTCACTTCACCGCCCTCAGGATGGAGGGAGCAGGCAGTCCTCCACCCCATCCCCCATGAAGCAGAAATCAATCTAGTTGTTGCTATTACCTCCCTCTCTCCCTCCCCAAAACCTCATCCCTCACGCCAGTGTAATCAAACAAAATCTACTATCTATTGTTTTCATGATAAACAAGTACAATTCCTGTACATACAATAATAACAGTAACCATAAATAATAATAATAAGGAAAAGACTGGCCTGCCTCTCGACCTTCGTACACAAAGTCAGAACACAATAGTGGACAAAATATTCCCATCCAAGCCCCGCCCTCAGGCGGGATTATCTGCCTCTAAAACACGTTAGTCTTACAAAATTCAAATCTCATTTTCCAAGATGGCTTCGCTCGGGCATTAAATATAAATTAGGCAATCGCGGGAGATGAAAGCTGGGGCCCTTCGCAGTACATGACGTGGCCCCTCGGGGCATGGGCCCCCCCAAGTGTAGGGAGGGGGGGCCCTTGTGACCTGCCTGAGGCACCCTCGTGTGGCCCTTCAGGGTATGGGAGCCTTTATGCAAGGGCGGCTCCCTTGTGTGGAGTAGTGGGGTCTTCTACAGTTCTCTCCAGCACCGTCTCTTCTTTTACAGCTCTCAATACTCTGCTCCCTCTCTCCATCTCTAGCGGAACTTTGCTTCTCACCCTCCTTGACACCTGGTTGATGGGGTTCTCGGAGTTGTTCTACTCACCAAGCCCGTCCCGAGGCCAGGCTTGACTTAGAGAGTTTGGTCCACCAGGCTGTTGCTTGGAGCGGCCCGCAGGCCCACATACCCACCACAGCCCGGTTGGTCCGGCACTTTTTTAGATATCAATCTAGTTTTCTCTTGATGATGTCCACGGATGTTCCGGCAATATTTCTTATAGTCGCTGGGAGGGTGTTGAACAACCGTGGACCTCTGATGTTTATACAGTGTTCTCTGATTGTGCCTATGGCACCTCTGCTCTTCACTGGTTCTATTCTCCATTTTCTTCCATATCGTTCACTCCAGTACGTTGTAATTTTACTGTGTAGATTTGGGACCTGGCCCTCCAGTATTTTCCATGTGTATATTATTTGGTATCTCTCTCGTCTCCTTTCTAGTTAGTACATTTGGAGAGCTTTGAGACAATCCCAATAATTTAGGTGTTTTATCGCGTCTATGCGTGCCGTATATGTTCTCTGTATTCCCTCTATTTCAGCAATCTCTCCTGCTCTGAAGGGGGAAGTGAGTGCCGAGCAGTACTCAAGACGGGACAGCACAAGTGATTTGAAAAGTACAACCATTGTGATGGGATCCCTGGATTTGAAAGTTCTCGTAATCCATCCTATCATTTTTCTGGCTGACGCAATATTTGCTTGGTTACGATCCCTAAACGTTAGGTCGTCGGACATCATTATTCCCAAATCCCAGACATGCTGTTTACCTATTATGGGCAGATTTGATTGTGTTTTGTACCTTGTATTATGTTTCAGGTCCTCATTTTTACCGTACCTGAGTACCTGGAATGTATCACTGTTAAAGATCATGTTATTTTCTGCTGCCCAATCGAAAACTTTGTTAATTTCTGCTTGTAGTTTTTCAATGTCTTCAGCAGAGGTAGTTTTCATGCTCATTTTTGTGTCATCTGCAAAGGACGACACGAAGCTGTGACTTGTATTTTTGTCTATATATGATATGAGAATAAGGAAAAGCAGTGGTGCAAGGACTGTACCTTGAGGTACAGAGCTTTTAACTGCGCTTGGACTCGATTTTATTTGATTGACTGTTACTCTTTGTGTTCTGTTCGACAGGAAATTGAGTATCCAGCGTCCTACTTTACCAGTTATTCCCACTGACCTCATTTTGTGTTATCACTCCATGGTCACATTTGTTGAATGCTTTTGCGAAGTCTGCGTATACAACATCTGCATTTTGCTTTTCTTCTAAAGCTTCTGTGATTTTGTCATGGTGGTTGAGTAACAGGATCTTCCCGGTCTAAATCCATGTTGTCCTGGGTTGTGTAGCTCATTATATTCTATAAAATTAAAAATTTGATTCCTAATCACTCTTTCAAACACTTATTGTGTGTGATGTTAGTGCAACTGGCCTATAATTTTTTGCCAAGGCTTTACTACCCCCTTTGGGCAGAGGAGCTATATCTGCAGTGCAGCTGGTATCTCCCATGTATTTAAGCCCTCTCCATATTGCGCTGAGCGCTCGCGCTACTGGTACTTTACATTTCTTAATGAATAATGAATTCCACGAGTCCGGCCCAGGAGCTGAGTGCATGAGCATATTGTCAATTTCTCTTTGAAAGTCTTCCGAGTTCGTGTTAATATCCGTTATATTATCTGCAGCTTGAATGTCATTCATAAAGAAGCTGTCTGGACACCTCTCCTCCTTCTCTACACTTCTCACCCCCCCCCCCAATGCACTTCTTACCCCCCCCCTCCTTGACACTTCACCGTGTTCAGTACCATTAAGTATTATTCCTCGAAGACCGGTTCGTCTCGGCTTTCTGCTAATGCTTCTCACTTAATGTTATTTTCCTGGTTTTTCTTCGTTTCTTTTTCCCCTTCGTCAGTCGCATTCCAGGTTTTCAGCCTCCCCTTCCTCCGCCTTCTCCCCATACGTTACCATCTTCTATCCCTTCCTCTTGCTTTACTCTCTATTCCTCTTATTCATCTTCCTCTTTCACCATCTCTAACCCTTCTCTATTTCCTCCAGAAGGCCACTGGTTTAGCCCAAGTATTGGGATGACGGGAAGGTGGGGGTGGTGAAGGATGGGGGGGTTAGGGTGGGGGGAGGGTGTTGAAGGATGGGGTGTGGGGGAACCGGTGGGGAAGGGTGAGGGGGGGGGATGGTTGAGTACCTTGATTACTATCGTATGACTAACACACATGGTTCTTGTTCTGCCGTCAAGTTCTGTGTTCCTGTACATCCTGAGTGTCAATATGTATGGCATGATACGGGTCAATACATCTGACGAGTGCTTGGAGTGTATGCCTCTAGCACGCACTCTCCCACAGGTGGAAGAGTAGCCCCTCTAACCCCTCCCATCCCCCTTCCTCATTACCCACCTCAAACACTAGTTGAGTCACGCACATATATAATTTTTATTTTCATCCTTTCCATTATCAATTGAGCTCCCAATTGTCCCAAGTGTCGAGAATAAAGAGGAGAGTATGAAGTCCCTGGCGAGGAGAAGCCCCAGTACTTGCCAGGTCTCCAGTCCTCACACAAATAACGACATCATCGGGTGAGAAATGCGGCAGATGTTGCGAGTGTCTCAAGAGAAGGAGAGCCATAACCCCACTAAAGAGACCCCGAGGAGCTTGAGGGCCTCTGAGCCGCGGTGGTCTGGCTTGGCGGCTCCTCACACCACGTCAACAGAGGAGCTGCTGCACCCCACGTCATTCACGGCGGGGAGCGGCAGACATGTTTTTAGGTTCGTCCATATATTATGCACCCCATACCCATGTTGTTTGTGGTACTGGACCCTCATACCCATGCTGTTTGTGGTAGTGGACCCCATACCCACCCTGCAAGTGAGTGGTAGTGGACCCCATACCCACCCTGCAAGTGAGTGGTAGTGGACCCCATACCCACCCTGCAAGTGGTAGTGGACCCCATACCCATCCTGCAAGTGGTAGTGGACCCCATACCCACCCTGCAAGTGGTAGTGGGCCCCATACCCACCCTGCAAGTGGTAGTGGACCCCATACCCACCCTGCAAGTGGTAGTGGACCCCATACCCACCCTGCAAGTGGTAGTGGACCCCATACCCACCCTGCAAGTGGTAGTGGACCCCATACCCACCCTGCAAGTGGTAGTGGACCCCATACCCACCCTGCAAGTGGTAGTGGACCCCATACCCACCCTGCAAGTGGTAGTGGACCCCATACCCATCCTGCAAGTGGTAGTGGACCCCATACCCACCCTGCAAGTGATAGTGGACCCCATACCCACCCTGCAAGTGGTAGTGGACCCCATACCCACCCTGCAAGTGGTAGTGGACCCCATACCCACCCTGCAAGTGGTAGTGGACCCCATACCCACCCTGCAAGTGACAGCTGAAAAGATTTCAGAAGGCACATATTGGGCTCTGGAACTGACTCTTAATATTCGCCTGACTAAACAATCTACA